TGGATGGATGGATGGATGGATGGATGGATGGATGGATGGATGGATGGCTATAGATGCATGCATTAGGAGACCTAAGGGGAGCCCTGATGATCTCATCAACCCCCAGTTCCCACTGGAGAATTGGGAAGGCAGGAGAGACTGGGATGGAAAAGAGCTGAGGTGCTGGAGCCACTGATGGGGCAATAGTACTTAGTTATAGTGACCATGGGGGCCGAGTATCTGAGGAGCATGTGTCCCTGGCACCAGGGAAGACTGGACTTGGATGATCTGATTAGAGGAATCATTGGAATTGATTATCTGAAAAAACCATGATTTGGGGCCTAGCAGTAGCTTGTGTGTGTACGTGGTTCCGAGAGCGTACTGGTTACCTCTTGCTGCACAGTAGATTACCTGGAACTTAGTGTCTTAAAGCAACAGCGTTATGATCTCCCTGACTGGGTCAGGAAGCAGCACAGCTTAGCTGCGTCCTCTGCACGGGGGCCGGGACAGGCTGCAGTCAAGGTGTTAGCTAAGGCTGTAGCCATCTCAAGGCTCTGCTTCCAAGCTCGCGCACATGGTTGTTGGCGGCGTTTAGGTCCTCCCGCGTTGTCGGACTGAGGGCTTCAGTTCTCTGCTCCCTGTTGGCTGGAGGCTGCCCTCTGTTCCTGGCCACGTGGGCCTCTCCATGGGGCGACTCACAGCACGCAGCCGGCTGTCATCAGAGCAGCTGGGGAGAGGAGCCAGAGAGAGTGCAAGCAAGAGCGTCAGACTCCGTAACCTAATCTCAGAAGTGACATCCGATCACTCCTAGGGGGCAGTTAAAACCAAGTTGCTAGTCCAGCCCACACGCAAGGGGAGGGGATTACACAAAGGCAGGAGTACCAAGGACAGGGATCATTGCAGCGGCATAGAAGCTTGGATAGAAGCTTCCTACCACGGTGCATCTGGGCAGGAACAGTCACAGAGTGAGAAAGGCCGTCAGGGACAAAAGGAGCCAGAGAAGGAGAGTCTGGACATCCGAAATTATGTCTGAGGAGTCAGAAAAGCTGGAAATCAGGAATGTTTTTAAGGGCAGGAGTAGCTAGTAGGGAAGTGTGTCTGGGGCCGGAGGAGGAGCTGGGGCAGGGAAGAGTAGCTGGCAAGAGAGAGTAGCGGGCGAGCACAGGTTTGAAGGTAAGCGCTCAAGAGGCGAGAGTAACCGGTGGTGGAGTAGCTAGTTGCACACAGGCCTGGCAGAAAGTAGGATGGCTGAGGACAGGAGCTAGAAGCATCTGAGCCCTTCCAGGCCTTCGGCTTTGAGGCAGATAAATTTGCAGGTGGGACAGTAGCTGCTTGTCTGTGAAGGTGCCCCCAGTCCCAGAGGTGGCATCACTGGCCCTTGATGGATTCTCGGTTCTGATAAAATTCAGGTGGGGTCTTGCCTGCTGCTTCAGGGCTCCCTGCTCCCCCAGGCATGCTTGGGTCTCCAGGAGCCAGTTTTGGAGAGGACAACCCTCACCAGAGCTGGGAAGCCCCTGGAGAATAGTAGATACACTTTCCTCCCGGCCACTGCCCCCACCGCCTGGACTCCTGGCAGACATAGCTTCTTTCCCCATCCGCTACCCATCCCCCAGCCCTGCAACCAGCCTGTCACACACACCGGAGCTGGGCCGGGTGCCAATCAGACAGGCTGACATCACAGACAGGCACAGCTAGACTTGGAAGCAGCCGGGTACAATGGGGCCTGCAGAGCCACCTGCTCCCCTGGGATCTGTGGGGCAGGGCCATTCCCTGCTGGGAGCAGGTACCTGGCTGGCTATCATCTCCCGAGAAGTCTCATGAATGCCATGCACCCTGATCTGTCCATTCTCCTCAGGCAGCAGGGGACATTCAACCTTGGGCCCCTCCCCTGGGCCCAGCTCCTTCTCTGAATCTCCCCAGCCAAGCAAAACAAGCCCAGCAGCTCACCCCCTGGGCCTCATCTCAGGGATGCTAGTTCTGCTCATCCATCAGCGTCCAGTCTGGGATGCTTTGGGGACAATTACAATAAGGAGATAAGGGCCCTGCCGACCACGTGCTCTGACAGGCCCCCCTTCTCACCCCGCTCCTTAATGAAGTCCAGTAGGCAGAAACCCTTGTCTTCCCTTGGAACACAGTACACAGGAGGGGCCCTCTTTGGTTGAAGTGGGAGTAGGGGCCCAGAACCCACCAAGCTTTGCCTTCATTGGCATCCACCTCTCCCTCTCTATCTTCACAGAGTTTTCTGTGAGGTAGTGCAGCTAAGTGGTTGGGAACATGGGCTCTAGAGCCAGATGGCCTGGGTTGGAAGCCTAACTTTGCTACTTAGTGTCTGAGTAACCTTGGGCAAGTGACTTAGCCATGGCTTCAGTTTCTGTAAAATGGAGCTAAGGGTAGTGCCCACCTCCTATGATTGTTGTGAAGAATCAGTGAGTTAATGCAGATAAAGCTCTTAGAACAGGGCTGGCACATGGAAACCTTTAATAAAGGTTAGAGAAAGAAAATGCATTTAAAAAAAAAAAAAAAACCAGTCTGAAAACCACCGTGCCATGGCAAAGAGCTAGGGGTTTCTAGGTAAGTGGGCCTGAGTCTGAATCCTGGCTTCATCCCTTACCAATTGTGTGTTTTGGGACCTCCCCTCCCAGGGTCTCAGTTTCCACAGCTGAGCAAGGGGTGGCCTTCCCTCCCATCAGAGGGCTCTAGACAGGGTTCTGTGACCAGAGCCCTGTTAAGTGGGGTGTGGGGTGCTTGGCCTCTGGTGTGCTCAGTAACTATGTGCATCACCCCTCCCATTGTGGCCCAGAAATCCAAGATCTCCACCTTTGAGAAAATGTGGGCCTTCATGAGCAGCAAGCCATCAGCGCTGGTGAAGAACAACGAGGAGGGCATCCAGAGGACCCTAACGGCAGACTATGCACTGCTCATGGAGTCCACGACCATCGAGTATGTCACCCAGAGGAACTGCAACCTTACCCAGATTGGGGGCCTCATTGACTCCAAGGGCTACGGCATTGGCACGCCCATGGGTGAGCAAGGGGCTGCGGGTGGTTGGGGGGGCTGGGGGGACAGAGGATGACCGGGGCCCCCACAGCTACTCATGCACCCCATCTCCTGCTCCATCTCCCAGCTCATCCCATTGAACCTCAAAAGGTGGCATCTCTTCAACCCAGAGACAAACAGTAGAGTCACAACCTTGCGAGGTCAGCCTGGGCCTAAGCAGAGAAGAGCTGGGGCCAACACAGAGGTAGGGGGTCAGTTCAGAGGTCATGCCTGCTCTCTCTGACCTCACCCCTGTCGATGCAGCCCTAATACATGGGGCCTTCCAGGGGCCGACGGAGACAGGGACTCCTCGGCAAGACTCCCACCCCCAATCAGGACCTTGTTCCCACCGGACACCATAGAAAGATTCAAAGAGGGGCCTTTAGGAGCTTATGGAGAGGCTAGTGATGGTGGCCGGCGCTGTCCAGGGTGCTGACAGGGGCACATGCACAGGGACTGAGTGCCCCTGCCAGCCCGCTCCCCGCTCCCCCACTCAGGCTCCCCGTACCGGGACAAGATCACCATCGCCATCCTGCAGCTGCAGGAGGAGGACAAGCTGCACATCATGAAGGAGAAGTGGTGGAGAGGCAGTGGGTGTCCCGAGGAGGAGAACAAAGAGGCCAGCGCCCTGGGTATCCAGAAGATCGGGGGCATCTTCATCGTCCTGGCCGCCGGGCTGGTCCTGTCCGTGCTGGTGGCTGTGGGCGAGTTTGTGTACAAGCTCCGCAAAACAGCAGAGCGAGAGCAGGTAAGCCTCAAGAACTGGGGCCCGCATGGGGAAGGGAGGGAGTGGGGAGCACAGGGTGTGAACCGGGTTCACACCTCCCAGGCACGCGTGGTGTCTGAGCCAGCCCTGCCTCGGCTCCAGCAGGAGGCTTGCCGGCCCCACCTCTGCTCTGACTCTGAGCACACATCCCCACCACTGTGGCTCCAGGCCAGGCCAAGCCCCCTCCTCTCCAGCTGGCTCATGCAACAGCCTCCACTCTGGCCTTCCTGCCTCTTCTCTCCCATCCGCTCTCCAAACACAGCCAGGGCCCTGTTTAACACTTCATTCAAACCATGTCATTCCCCTGCAGAAAATCCTTCAGGGTAATTGTTGAAGCTGGGTGATGGTTACATGGGGCTTCATTATACTTCTCTCTCTCTCTACTGCTGCATATAGTTGGAAATTTCCATAATCAAAAGTTTAAAAAAGAAAGGAATGTTAAGAAGTCTGGCCCAAGCATTCAGACAGTAGAACTCTGCTCAACCCATCTGATTAATTCAAGTGTGGTTGAGCAGTGGTTCTGGGTCCTGGTAGCAAATTAGAATCACAGGGAGAGAGTTTTTTAAGTGCTAATGCCCTGACCTCACTCCCAGAGACTGTTTTAATTGGTCTGTGGCAGAGCCTGGCATTGGTGTCTTAAGAAAGTGTACTTACAGGGTGATTTAAATGTGCACATGAGGGCGCCTGGGTGGTTCAGTTGGTTAAGCGTCTGCCTTCGGCTCAGATCATGATCCTGGGGTCCTGGGATCTAGCCCTGTGTTGGGTTCCCTGCTCAGTGGGGAGCCTGCTTCTCCCTCTCCCTCTGCCTGCCACTCCCCCTGCTTGTGCTCTCTCTCTCTCTGTCAAATGAATAAATAAAACCATTTAAAAAATGAAAATTTAAAAAAAAAATCAATGAGCACGTGAGTTGAGGGCCTCTGGGCTGGAGGGAGGTGCCTTTCACAGAGAAGTTCAAAGGGACACAGGGCCAGTGTGGAAGGAGATTATAGGTATGTCCTATGTGGAGGGGACCACTCAAAACAGGTACTTTTTACATCCATCAAAAATGAAATGGGGTCCTTTATAATCGGTAAGCCAGAGTCAGCAATGAGGAAGGGGAAAGATCATCCTTGGTGTCATAGTTCTTGTGGGCATGAGGAAAGGGACATGCTCCAGTCTTGCTGGGAGCAGTCCGTGCGTACGTTTCTGGAAGGCAGCTTTGCAGTGTGGACAGTCTTAAAAGTGGCCACACATTTTGACAGTGAATTTCTACTTTTAGAAATGCACCCAATGGAAGAGGTCAGTTTTATTTACAAGGATATTCACTGAAGTGTTAATTAGCACATGAAAAATGAAGGGGAACATCCCCCTCAATGTCCAATAATACAGAAGGGCTAAAAAAAATTATAATACATTAAAAAAGAACAACCAAATTCTTTAGGAATTCCCATTACGGTTGGAATGAGCTCCACAATCCACCCAAAAGCCGACAACAAGATCTGGTTCTATCCCACTTGTCTGACTTTCTCCTTCCCACGTTCCCCTCCATCACTCTCCTCCACACACACTGGCCTCCTCTTTAGTCCTTAATGCACCAAACACCTTTCAGCCCCAGGCCTTTTGCACATGCTGGTCCATGTACCTGCAATGCTCTTCCCACCCACCCCCACCCCCACCCCGAGCACCATATTATTGGCATGTTCTGGTCATTGAGGTTTCAGCTGAAACACCACCTCTCAAGTAGCCTTCCCCACTTGCCTCCACGCCTGATGCCCCTCTATCTCATTCCACTGCTTTATTCTCTTAACAACACTTACCGTGCTCTAAAGTGATTTATTTGTTCACACGTTTATTACCTGTCTCTATCACATCATAGACCAGAAGCTCCCTGAGGGCTGTGACCTGCCTTTTTCATGTCTGTTTGCCTGACACCTAGAACAGCGTGTGGCACATAGTAGGGCCTCGGTAAATATTTTCAGAATGAATAATGGCAGGTGAGGAGAGTTGCCATTCTGTGTTTAATGGGCAGACAAGGGGAAGCTCAGAGGGGAAGTGAGTAAGAGGCAGAGCCAGAATTGAGAATCTCCGCGCCCTCCCCTCCCCTGCACAGCCTTGTCACAGCTGCCTGAGTGCTCCTGAGAGGACCTCACCACGCAAATGGAGCCATCAAGAGCCCCCCCCACTGCCTTCCAGACAAGCCACAGGACAGCCTCTGGCCATGGGTCTCCTAGGAGCCCCCGCCGTCAGATACCTGCAGGCAAAAGCATAGGGACCCAGGCCAGAAACCACTGTCACCCAGCTGCCTTGCAGGGACCTGCCTCCCACTTGCACACCTTGAGAAACGTGCTGGACTGTCCCTGTGGAAGCGTGGTGATTTTGCCCATAGTGGGAAGCCCTCCCAGGGGAAAGGTTACCCATACATTCATCAGGTGTTTCTTAAGCCTGACCCTGGGCCAGGCCTAGTGCTAGGAGCTGGGCTTACAGGGATGAAACTGGCTGGTTCCTGCCCTCAGAATCTAGTGGAGAAAAATCAGGCAGGTCAAATTCCTCAAACTTTAGCGTGCACACCCATCAGAACCTCGGTTTGCTCATCTGGGAAATGGGGGTAGGATGATACTACCTGCCCTGGCTACCTTAGTCTCCAAACAAGAACGTAACGCTCTGCAGCCTGCCTCAAACTGATCATCTTGAGTGGGCAGCGGGTGGGTGGCCTAAAGGTGAGAGTGAGACAGGCAACCTTGGCACCAGCCTTGGGAGGAAGGGGAGGAGCCGGCTGGGCTTGCAAGGCCGGGCCTCACCCATGTGCCCCTTGCCCTCCCACCCCACCCCAGCGTTCCTTCTGCAGCACCGTAGCCGATGAGATCCGTTTCTCCCTTACCTGCCAGCGTCGGGTCAAGCACAAGCCGCAGCCCCCCATGATGGTCAAGACTGACGCTGTCATCAACATGCACACGTTCAATGACCGCCGGCTTCCAGGCAAGGACAGCATGGCCTGCAGCACATCATTGGCCCCCGTATTCCCCTAGGCACAGGTGGGGTGGGGACCGAAGGCCTGGGGGCAAGGCAGAGGAAAGCAAGGAGACTGGAAGGCACCTCCCCTGTGCCCACACTGGGCTTGGGGGCCAGAGCTGCTGCCTGCCTGCTGGGCCAGGAGCCCTCTGCCCTTACCTCCCAGGAAACCAGCAGGCCCTGAGGCCAGCTGCTTGGGCCTCACTCGCCTCTCGTTTCTTCTGTGGGTTTCTAAAGCTGCCAGCCGAGACAGCCAAGGCCAAAGGAAGCACATGCCTCTCTCAGGCCAAACTCACCTGCCCCTCAACTCTCCTTGACAGTCAGAAGTTCCTACCACGGCCTTGCTGAGGCCAAAGAAAATGGGAAACAGCTCATATGTTGCCTCTCCTTCCATGAGCCCAGACCTCCTGGGCCATGACCGTGAGACCAGAAACACAAACCTTGGGCACCTTAAGGATTGTAGTATGGCTACCAATGGGAGCTGAAGATGGGGGATGGCTACTCTACATGTCTTGAGCAGAAGGAAGACTTCATCCCTTAGGGGCTGCTCACATAGTCTTGGTCTCTTGGACTTGGCAGCATGTATGGCAGCCCCCATCTTGGCAAAATTGAAGGCAGAGAGCCCCATAGAAGAAAAGAGGAGTTTGGGGTATGGGAGAGAAGAAAATGCACAAAGGCCACCATTTTGAATTCTTATGGACGACGTCCCAATTGTTCCCATTCCTCAAGGAGGTCTCCAGGAGTATAAAGGGGAGGAGTGGTCAGAGCAAATTTTCTACTTTCTGGCCAGAAGGTAGAGGACCCCCTGAATCTCTCACAAAGGGTGACCAGAGATTCAGCTGATATTTGAAGCCAGAGGAACAGTGGATGCCATGGAAATCCCATAGTCCCTTGAGCCACTGGGTCTTATTTTGCTGGTTACTGAGCTGTTTTCTAAACCCTAGTGGCATTTGAGAGCTTGGGCTCTTTGCCATCTACTCATCAGCAACTCCCCATTCCTGGCCAGTTGACCTTGACCTCCTTCTGTCACCTTGGAAGGAGAAGAGAAGCCTAGATTGAAGTGAAAGTCATGACGCCCCCCCCCTTAAAAGAGGGATACAGGTCCTACGGCACAGGCTAACTTTGGGGTAGATGGGGAAGGCCGGGAGGGCCCTCAAGAACTCTTGGCCTCCTGAACTTGCCAAACATAAAGATGCTCCCCAGAAAGGAAAGTTTTCAGGGACAGGGCATCAGAGCTCATAGTGGCCCCAAGAGTGGGGAAAGAAAAGCTGTCTCCTGGAGAATTAACCAAAGACCCCACATAGAGACACAGGCCACCTAGGCCCCGATCTCTTGTCCAGAGCAGCTTGGACCTAGTGGGGCTTGGGGGTATAGCAAAGAAATAGTAGCAGATGGGGTACCAGTGAGGGCCGGACCAGATGACTTGTGGGTTCCAGCTAGGTAGGATGGATGTTCTAGAAGTCTGTGACTTTAAGATTCTGGAAAAAGAATGAGACATGGAAGGTTTAGGAGCAAAGTGTCCTTAAAGAGACTATGACGGGGCCAGCAAAGCTTCCCATTGCTAAGGGTGAAAGGCAATCTCGGAACAGGGGAGGGAAGGCTGGAGATTCCGGATGGGGACCCAGAAGACACTATTATCCCCCTCCCACCTCTCTCCTGTTTCTGCCTGGGGAGTCTGGTTAAGGAAGAGCTACATTTAGATCTCAAGGACCTTCTCAGCTGGGGTGAAGAATAATCTTTAACTCCCCCCGGGGACTCCCAAAGCAGGAGAGCGCAGTGGGCTCATGTGATAAATAACATTCCTCCTCCAAACTGTGAGCTGCAGGACCAAACCAGCTGGTTCCCACCCTCCCAGCAGCTCCAACAGGCTGTGTGCTGGGGAGGTGGGAGAAGAGAGCTGGACGCGCAGCATCGCCAACACACATAATGACAGGAGAAGCCATGCTGTCATGAGCTCGTGTGTGGGAGTGCGTGTGTGCATGCATATATGTGTATCTGTGTGTGTGAGCTCTAGGGGCTGGGGGTGAGGGACGGATTTGGACATCAAACAGAGTCCAGGACATGCAATAATAGAACCCTTTAGGTTCTGACGTGTGTGTGCACACATGTGTGAATCTGGGATGAGGGAGACAAATCTGGACAAGCAGCAGAGCCCCGTACATGTAAAAACGGGAGAAGCCATGTCTTGCTGGGGTCCTGGGCAGTACATACATGTATATGTGCATGCACGAGTGTGTATGCTTGTGTGTGCCTGGCCTGTGTGTGCATGCACGCTTGGGTGTACGTTTTGCACCCCTGGCAGAGGGTGGAGGACAGGATGAAACCCGCAGCGTTGCCAAATGTTTAAAAGGAGAAGCCATGTCGTTGAGGGTCCACATGTGAGCAAGTGTGCATCTGTGTGTGGGGGCATGGGTTTGCAGCGGAGAGCAGGACAGAGGACAGAACCAGAGAGCTTTGTAGTACAGATCAGTGCATGTGTGCAAGGAGCCCTGTGGCATCGGAATTACTTGGGGGGGGCATGCTCCCACATGGGTGTGCAGACTCACCCGTGTGTTCCAGCTCACAGCAGGAGCAGAAATGGACAATCAGGAAGGCAGGGAATCAGGGTCTGCTTGCACTTCTGTTGGTAAGGAGAGATCATTTGTCACAAGGATTTGGCGAGACAGTGTGCTTTTGTGTATGATGCTCCATGAGCGAGTCATGTTCTTCTGAGGCTGCACACGAACACAGGCTGATGGGGGAAGAAAGAAGTGGCGTGGGTTTGGGAAGATATTTCATCAGCGGAATGAAGAATAGTGGCTATTGGAGGCACAATTCATTTAGGGAAATCCCCCGCAAGGTACTAAAATGATTTTTAGACTTGTAATGAAGGGGGGGTGACATGCTGCCCAACCCCGCCCCCCACTCAAGCCTTATGTCCCTGTGTGTGGCTCATGTTCAAACTCTGGCTGGTGTCCTTGGTTTGCCTTTGAGACCAGCCCAGTGTTCAAAACACAGTGGGGACTGCTTCTGCCCAAGTGGGAGCTGTGTCTCTCCCCAGGTCCCGAAGGTGCTAGCTGGTACTACTACACCGCGTGGGGTGGGGAGGGGAGAAGGTGTTCGCATCAAGGCGGATCAAGAGGAATTAAAGGCGACGTCAACCATGCAGCAGGTGCGCACGTGCGCTGCAGAGGGTGTGAGGGGCACGCCCACGCGCGGCGGCGCTGAGGTTGGCTGTAGAAGCGTCAGAGCTGGTTTTGATGGAACAGAAGACGGGACTTGCCCCAGCAGGTGCTGGACTGTCCTTGTCGGGCCCCACATGCCTGCCCTTAACAAGAATGCCCCCACCTCCCACCCCCATCTCCCACCCAAAATGCCAGTGCCTCCTCTCAGCCAGCTCAGACTGGCCAAACTGAGGGGCAGCAGCGAGCAGACCCCCCCCCCCACACACACACACACCCCGCCAGTCACCAGGGCCCTGGGGCTTTTGGACGATGAACCCTCCTCCTGTCACTCCCCTTGACCTCTTACTGGTCTCTGTGCCATGGACAGATAAGAAACCCTGACCGCTTGGTCACCACTCAGGTGGCCCCACTCTGCGAGTGTCTCTCAAGAGGAATCATGCTCTCGTGGCGGATGAGCTGACTCTGAATCTCTGAAGGGTTGGAGGGCCTCCCCCCACCACCGCCCAGCAAGACTGCCCCAACTAGAAGAGCACATCCTGGCCCCCTCCCCAATGCACTTGCAGACAGAAGTGATGGCCCAAGATAGGGGAGGGGTCTGGCGGGGCTGGATGAAGGTTCCATGTGGTGAGAAGTCACTCCCCTCCTTAAAGTGGAGGGGAGCAGAAGTCCGAGCCGAGCACTCGCTCGCTGAGAACAGAGGCTCCCTCCCTGCCTTTCCCAGGGCTGCGCTGCGGACATCCGCAAGCGGCTGCTTCATCCCTCGGCATGAGGCTGGGCCCTTCCCAAGCCATTCTCAGCTATCTGCACAAACAGCTGGAAACTGGCCAAACTCTGGCCCATATCTGGACTGATCCGGTGTGGACAGCCATCTGGAAGGGCCTTGTGATCTGGACAAACAGCTGGTTGGGCTTAAACATCTGGGATGGGCCCAGCCCTGTGGACAGATGCAAGGAATGAGCCCAATTCTGTCGACAGATCTTGAGCAGACACATCTGGAACAGTCTCCCCGACGGGACTGACACAGCTGGAAGGGGCCCCGCTGCTTGCCATGGTAGAAGGGCCCTGCCCTGAGTCCCCATGCCAGTTTGAATCGAGCTCTCATTTTTCAATCCTGGATTTGCCCTGGAGTTAGAATTTCAGAGCTAAGGCCATATGTGAAGTCACAAAACTGTTTTTGGTAGAGGGTTAATGTTCTGTACAATATATATATGAGTGTAAAAAGATATATATATACTGTATATATATATACATATATGCACAGTGTATATATGACCTGTAGCCCATGTGTATACACACCCCTCCCTGCACGTCCGCACACAGAGTGTACATAACCCAGCCAGTACGGGTGGGGACCAGGTGAGGGATGGGGCGACAGCAGCCAAGTCTGGAATGGAGGTCACCTGGGGCAGGGGCCCCCTGGGGATGGGGAAGGCCCTGCATACATCAGAGCTCTGGACCGAACCACAGGGGCTGGCAGATGGGCCTTGCCCAGCCGGTGCCTCCTGGAGAGGGGCAGGAGAGACCCAGGGGCCTTGTCTCCGTCTGAGAGTGTCTGAGCCAGGGCAGCAAGCAAGGCCTGTGTCTGGGGAGTCATGTCATGCTGGCACTTGGCCCAGAGACCTGTACTTGTCACAGTGGCCAGATAGGTGTCGGGCTCCACCTGGAATATCCTAAAGGGCTGGAACGTTCTAGGTGGCAGAGGCCTCTGCCTCAGATTCCCACCCACACACAAAGGCACAGTTCACAGCTAGCGCAAATGCTTTTTAAAGAGAATGGCCCCAAAGGCATTGTCCACATGCCCGTGCAATGTCCCTGTGCCCGACTCACTGGCCCTGTCCCCATCATCTGCCTTC